AGTGGTAGGCTACAATGTCACACAAGACAGTGGTAGGCTACAATGTCACACAAGACAGTCGTTAGCTACGATGTCACACAAGACAGTGGTAGGCTACAATGACACACAAGACAGTGGTGGGCCATAATGTCACATAAGACAGTCGTCAGCTACAATGTCATACAAGACAGTGGTAGGCTACAATGTCACACAAGACAGTCGTTAGCTACAATGTCACACAAGACAGTGGTAGGCCACAATGTCACACAAGACAGTGGTAAGCTACAATGTCATACAAGACAGTGGTAGGCTACAATGTCACACAAGACAGTCGTTAGCTACAATGTCATACAAGACAGTGTAGGCTACAATGTCACACAAGACAGTGTAGGCTACAATGTCACACAAGACAGTGTAGGCTACAATGTCACACAAGACAGTGGTAGGCCACAACATCACACAAGACAGTGGTAGGTCACAATGTCACCCAAGGCAGTTGTTAGCTACAATGTAACACAAGACAGTGTAGACTACAATGTCACACAAGACAGTGTAGGCTACAATGTAACACAAGACAGTGTAGGCTACAATGTCACACAAGACAGTGGTAGGCCACAATATCACACAAGAGAGTGGTAGGCCACAATGTCACACAAGACAGTGTAGGCTACAATGTCACACAAGACAGTGGTAGGCTACAATGTCACACAAGACAGTGGTAGGCCACAATATCACACAAGACAGTGGTAGGCCACAATGTCACACAAGACAGTCGTAAGCTACAATGTCATACAAGACAGTGGTAGGCTACAATGTCACACAAGACAGTGTAGGCTACAATGTCACACAAGACAGTGGTAGGCTACAGTATCACACAAGACAGTGGTAGGCCACAATATCACACAAGACAGTGGTAGGCTACAATATCACACAAGTCAGTCGTAAGCTACAATGTCATACAAGACAGTGGTAGGCTACAATGTCACACAAGACAGTCGTTAGCTACAATGTCACACAAGACAGTGGTAGGCTACAATGTCACACAAGACAATTGTAGGCCACAATATCACAGAAGACAGTGGTAGGCCATAATGTTACACAAGACAGTCGTTAGCTACAATGTAACACAAGACAGTGTAGGCAACAATATCACACAAGACAGTGTAGGCTACAATGTAACACACGACAGTGTAGGCTACAATGTTACACAAGACAGTGGTCGGCCACAATATCACACAAGACAGTGGTAGGCCACAATGTCACACAAGACAGTGTAGGCTACAATGTCACACAAGACAGTGGTAGGCTACAATGTCACACAAGACAGTCGTTATTTACCATGTCACCCAAGACAGTGAAGGCTACATTGTCACACAAGACAGTGGTAGGCCACAATATCACACAAGACAGTGGTAGGCTACAATGTCACACAAGACAGTGGTAGGCTACAATGTCACACAAGACAGTGGTAAGCCACAATATCACACAAGACAGTGGTAGGCCACAATGTCACACAAAACAGTGGTAGGCCACAATGTCACACAAGTCAGTCGTAAGCTACAATGTCATACAAGTCAGTGGTAGGCTACAATGTCACACAAGACAGTCGTTAGCTACAATGTCACACAAGACAGTGGTAGGCTACAATGTCACACAAGACAATTGTAGGCCACAATATCACAGAAGACAGTGGTAGGCCATAATGTTACACAAGACAGTCGTTAGCTACAATGTAACACAAGACAGTGTAGGCTACAATGTCACACAAGACAGTGTAGGCTACAATGTAACACACGACAGTGTAGGCTACAATGTTACACAAGACAGTGGTAGGCCACAATATCACACAAGACAGTGGTAGGCCACAATGTCACACAAGACAGTGTAGGCTACAATGTCACACAAGACAGTGGTAGGCTACAATGTCACACAAGACAGTGAAGGCTACATTGTCACACAAGACAGTGGTAGGCCACAATATCACACAAGACAGTGGTAGGCCAGAATGTCACACAAGACAGTGGTAGGCTACAATGTCACACAAGACAGTGGTAAGCCACAATATCACACAAGACAGTGGTAGGCCACAATGTCACACAAAACAGTCGTTAGCTACAATGTCACACAAGACAGTGAGGGCTACAATGTCACACAAGACAGTGGTAGGCTACACTGTCACACAATACAGTGGTAGGCCACAATATCACACAAGACAAGGTAGGCGACAATGCCACACAAGACAGTGTAGGCTACAATTTCACACAAGACAATGGTAGGCCACAATGTCACACAAGACAGTCGTTAGCTACAATATCACACAAGACAGTGAAGGCTACAATTTCACACAAGACAGTGGTAGGCCACAATATCACACAAGACAGTGGTAGGCTACAAATTCAGTCAAGACAGTGGTCGGCTACGATGTCCTGTCAAGACAGTTGTAGGCTACAGTGTCAGGCTATAATGCAATTTCACACAAGACAGTCGTAAGCTACGATGTCACACAAGACAGTGGCAGGCTACTATGTCAGATACGACATTGGTAGGCTACAGTGTCACACAAGACAGTGGTAGGCTACAGTGTCAGGCAAGACAGTGGTAGGCTACAGTGTCACACAAGACAGTGGTAGGCTACAGTGTCAGGCAAGACAGTGGTAGGCTACAGTGTCAGGCAAGACAGTGGTAGGCTACAGTGTCACACAAGACAGTGGTAGGCTACAGTGTCAGGCAAGACAGTGGTAGGCTACAGTGTCACACAAGACAGTGGTAGGCTACAGTGTAACACAAGGCAGTGGTAGGCTACAGTGTAACACAAGACAGTGGTAGGCTACAGTGTCAGGCAAGACAGTGGTAGGCTACATTGTCACAGAAGACAGTGGTAGGCTGCAGTGTAACACAAGACAGTGGTAGGCTACAGTGTCAGGCAAGACAGTGGTAGGCTACATTGTCACACAAGACAGCGGTAGGCTACAGTGTCAGACACGACAGTGGTAGGCTACAATGTCACACAAGACAGTGGTAGCATTAAATATCACACAAGATAGCGGTAGGCCACAATGTCACACACGACACAATGTCACATACCCAATAGCCATCATACACAAGTGATGAACTCTCCCGTGCAGTCACCACGCTCCACTCCCACCATGACAAACACTCACAACCTGCACAATAGCGGATGGTCATGTTGCCATACAAAACAAAATAACCTTTCAATAACACGGAAACGTTAAAATTCCCTTGACGATATTGATTAACAACTGACCGTGTCTATCACGTCAAAGCAACTATTGTAATACCATGTCTAAAATGCATCAGATAAATTACTTCATTTGAAAGATGCAAACTGACAGTTTTTTTGTTTTATTTTTAACAGGATACAGACTTCATCTCGACTGTCAAGAACCCCAGGGAGCAATAATTGTCGTCATGTTAGCATAGAATACCATTTAGAGTTCTGGAATATAAAAAAACGTTTAAAGAACTTAGAGACATCTTCTACAGTGTACTATTCAATCGAACAAACTTATAATGCAGTCTGAAGACAAAGACAACCGTTCTGTTGTGTAAAGCATGGCTCCCAACTTCACTCGATACTTGAGTGTCAATACCTACAATATTTATTCATGTTTAAACAAGTATTGGTGTGCACTCATTTCAACTTTCATTCTTTTGTTGTTTTCACTTAACACAGTGTATTCAAAGATGTCGTGGTAAGACTTCCACCCGTACCCCCAACCTCCACTTGCGGTCGTCAAAAAGTTATTTTAATGAGAGGATGGTTTTGAACCCCCTGATTGACCAATCAGAATCGAGCATTTTTCAAATTCATGGTGTCATTTTGTTCAACGGGTTGGAATGGGCATTCAGTAGCCCATGCTTTTCATAAGAAGAGAGATAGCCTGATGTAAGGGGCGACACTTTATAACGGGATCGGGTGGCCAGGCTCGCTGACTTGGTTGATGTATGTCATCGTATCCCAAACGGTTGAATCTGTACTCATGATATCAATCACTGGTTTGTCTGGTCCAGACTCGATTATATACCTCCGGCCGTCATACAGCTTGAATATTGTTGAGTGCGGCGTTAAACAATAAACAAAAAATGATAATAACAAATATAACAATTAATATCCGTATATGGCACTCAAGTGTATCCTTGGAATGTCAAAACATTTGAAAACATAATATGTCTGAATAGCAAAGACCCAGTGATTGATAAACATGCTTGGTTTCACGAAGGATTATAAATTTATTATTGTAGTTTCTTCTCCTGTAAAGGAAACAGCGAATAAGAGATAAGGCGGCGAGATTAAGGGGTTGGAGGGGGGTCATGAATAAAATATTTGTTAAGAACTGGTCATTTGTTAGGGGGTGGGGGAGAACCATGACAAAAAGAGGGCGTCAGCAAAATGTGATACAGTTTTAAGGCCAATCTCACCATCGCCACCAAAAGCCCCTAAACCTCATCTTTAACACACATTTACCCCTCTCCCCAATTTTGAACACACACACACACACACACACACACACATCCTTACCCCTATTCCCCTTTACCTTCCTATATTGAATTACAAGTCCATTTCTGAATTACCTCATCTTTAACACACATTTACCCCTCTCCCTAACTTTTAACACACACACACACACATCCTTACCCCTATTCCCTTCCTGTATTGATTTACAAGTCCCTTTCTGAATTACCTCATCTTTAACACATATTTACCCCTCTCCCTAACTTTTAACACACACACACATCCTTACCCCTATTCCCTTCCTGTATTGATTTACAAGTCCCTTTCTGAATTACCTCATCTTTAACACACATTTACCCCTCTCCCTAACTTTTAACACACACACACATCCTTACCCCTATTCCCTTCCTGTATTGATTTACAAGTCCCTTTCTGAATTACCTCATCTTTAACACACATTTACCCCTCTCCCTAACTTTTAACACACACACACATCCTTACCCCTATTCCCTTCCTGTATTGATTTACAAGTCCCTTTCTGAATTACCTTGTTCATCATGATATCAACGTCGTCCCGACACAGATGCAGCGTCGCTGTTCAAGTGAGGAATTAAATGAATGATCACCAACAAGTGAAAACACGCGCGTACGCTAATAACAATCGTCAGGCCTTTGAAAACAATACACCTCGGTCACAATGGCACACGCCGAACACTTGGATCGTCTGGGATATTCCCCTTTGTTAATCAGACACGTGTTATATAATGACGGGTAAGAACGACAAAACCCACTGCTCGGAATATTCATTCGACCATTCACAAGCTGCTCACTCCGTAACGCAGTCAGTTTTGTGTTTGCCGTCAACAGTCAGGCCACATTGAGGATAAAGCGTTCGCAATTATTATTTATTTATATTTGTATATCTATGGCAATGGGACATCTGTGTGGTATTTGATGCCTTCACAACAGTCCAGGTGGGAAGTGACATTAAATATGGATCATGGTTTAAGAACGTACTTGCACTCTGTGAAGATCCGGATTAGAATTGGTCTTCAATTGCAACAACCGATGTCTGTCTCAAAAGACGACTAACGGGATCGGGTAGTCAGGCTGCCTGACTTGGTTGGTGTATGTCATCGTATCCCAGCTGCAGAGACCGATGTTCATGATGTCAATCAATGGAGTTGCAACCGTTGGGCATTCCAGAAACCTATGATCTTGGATTCGAATCCCGGTTCGCCCCAATTATGTTGCTAAGTTTGTCATTACCATACCCGTACTCGCGATTTTCGACCCGTGAAGATTCGGGTCAGAGGAGGTCTTCAGCAACCCATGCTTGTCGTAAACGGCCACTAACGGGATCGGGTGGTCAGACTCGCTGACTTGGTTGATGCATGTCATTGTATCCCAATTGCGTGGATCGATGCTCATGATGTTAATCACTGGATTGTCTGGTCCAGACTCGATTATTTACAGACCGCCGTTATGTAGATGGAATATTGCTGAGTGCGGCGTTAAACAACAAGCAAACAAATTCGCGAGTTTCACCAAAGTGGTAAACGTCTGAGACTTGCATCACTTCGGACTTTCCTCCCATATCGAGCATACACGCCGTGTTATAAATGGAATACTGTTTAAAGCAATAAAACCCAACCCATTCACTCACTCACTCACTCACTCACTTCCTCTTATGCTTGAAAGGCCAGGGATAATTGATTTGTTATAAATGAGGTCATGACAAACAACATCCATTTGACCAACTCCGTCAGATATACTGTGTGGTATTGAATCTAAGTGATGGTGTAATGTGACAAGTTCAGTTCCAATGTTGATTCTTCTTTGCGTTCTGGGTTGACAAGAGTGTTTCTTGAGATGAAAGCTCCTCATCAATCCCTGGATCGCTAGTTATAAAATAATGTTCAGTAGCGCACTGTACACGTATGAATGGTTGCCATGGTGATTCAACACGGGAGATCGCCACTGTGGTCTTGCAGACAGAGCGTCTGTCCGGTGAACAAATGACGTCAAAAGATGGTACTTCTTACCCTGCCTGGCGCTTGGCGTTAATGGGATAAAACACTTATTCGTCGGCTCTTAGCCAATATGCTTTGTCTGAATGGTTCTCATGTTGAACTGCGGCATTGTATCTCATTTGGCTAGAACTACAAAACCTGCATCAGTCCTGACTAGTACAAGCAGCCACGCATACGTCGCTATAATAGTGCAACAAGCTTGATCATGACGTTAAGCCTCTTTTCACCTCGCTTCTTGTGTACTACTTGGTGTTAAATCCCACTGAGAGGGTTACAATCGAAGGCAACCCGTGTCATCTGTTGGTACCGAAACTGCATTGATATAGTTATATCACCAATATAACATCGATATAACCGGACTACATAATGTAATATTACTATAGCATCGATATAACAATAACTGCATTGATATAACATTACTATGTCATGGATATAACTGCAACTGCATTGATATAACATTACTTTGTCATCGATAAAATAATAACTACATTGATATAACATTACTATAGCATAGATATAACCGGAACTGCATTGATATAACATTACTATATCATCGATATAACCGTAACTGCATTAATAAAACACTACTTTGTCATCGATATAACCGGAACTGCATTGATATAACATTACTATAGCATCGATATAACCGGAACTGTATTTTTATAACATTACAATAGCATCGATATAACCGGAACTGCATTAATATAACATGACTGTAGCACCAATATAACCGGAACTGCATTAATGTAACATTACTATAGCATTGATATAACCGGAACTGCATTAAATTAACATTACTATAGCATCGATATTCATTCATTATTCATTCATTATAACCGAAACTGCTGAAAAACACAAACATCAAGCGGCACATTATAAGTTGTAGCAGTATCACTGCACGAGGTTTTATACCACGAGGCGGAGGCTTGGTGTTAAGAACATTTCATCCTGCCAAGGCTCGTGTTATAAAACCTAACTGGGGGCACATAAAACCACTTATCATACCGCCATGTCAGAGTGAGTGAGTGAGTGAGTGAGTGTGGTTTTACGCCGCTTTTAGCAATATGCCAGCAATATCACGGCGGGGGACACCAGAAATGGGCTTCACACATTGTACCCATGTCGGGAATCGAACCCGGGTCTTCGGCGTGACGAGCGAACGCTTTAACCACTAGGCTACCCGACCGCACCCTCCATGTCAGAATGATAGTGAGGGCCTATTGTGAAAGATTACAGTAATAACTGATAGCGAGAGTTTATTGTTGTACGTAGTGAGAACATATTGTAACAACTTACAGTGAGAGCCTATTGTAATAACGTATAGTGAGAACATATTGTAATACATTATAGTGAGAACATTTTGTAATACCGTATAGTGAGAACATATTGTAATACATTATAGTGAGAACATATTGCAATACCGTATAGTGAGAGCATGTTGTAATAACGTATAGTGAGAACATATTGTAATACATTATAGTGAGAACATTTTGTAATAACGTATAGTGAGAACATATTGTAATACATTATAGTGAGAACATATTGCAATACCGTATAGTGAGAGCATGTTGTAATAACGTATAGTGAGAACATATTGTAATACCGTATAGTGAGAACATATTGTAATACATTATAGTGAGAACATATTGCAATACCGTATAGTGAGAACACATTGTAATACGGTATAGTGAGAACATATTGTAATACATTATAGTGAGAACATATTGTAATTCCTTATAGTGAGAACACACTGTAATACATTATAGTGAGAACATATTGCAATACCGTATAGTGAGAGCATGTTGTAATACCGTATAGTGAGAGCATGTTGTAATACCTTATAGTGAGAACATATTGTAATACCTTATAGTGAGAACATATTGCAATACCGTATAGTGAGAACACATTGTAATACCTTATAGTGAGAACATATTGTAATACATTATAGTGAGAACATATTGTAATTCCTTATAGTGAGAACATATTGTAATACATTTTAGTGAGAACATATTGTAATTCCTTATAGTGAGAGCATATTGTAATACATTATAGTGAGAACATATTGTAATTCCTTATAGTGAGAACATATTGTAATACCTTATAATGAGAACATATTGTAATACATTATTGTGAGAACATATTGTAATAACTTATAGTGAGAACATATTGTAATACCGTATAGTGAGAACATAATGTAATACCGTATAGTGAGTACACATTGTAATACCTTAAAGGGAGAACATATTGTAATACGTTATAGTGAGAACACACTGTAATACATTATAGTGAGAACATATTGTAATACATCATAAAGAGAACACGTTGTAATAACTTATAGTGAGAACATATTGTAATACATTATAGTGAGAACATATTGTAATACCTTATAGTGACACTCAACTAATACAATAAGGCAAAATCTCTGCGTGCTTTCCATCCACGTCAGCAAGAATTGAGCCGGATTATATCTTCTACAGGTTTGTCTGTACATTATAAAACACGACAAAGTTTTGGTTAAACAAGCCTGACCACCCGATCCCGTTAGTTGCCGCTTCCGGCAAGCATGGGTTGCTGAAGACCGATTCTCATCCAGATCCTTCTTTATTATGAGCAATTCCGTGACTGACGCTGATATATTTGCACTATTCTGACGTTTATCTTAAAAAATTAGATAGGGCGAACAATCTGTTAATGCTGAGTGAGTGAGTGGATTGGGCCTAACGCCGCTATGAACACTATTCCAGTTATCTCACGGCGTGTCAGTTTAATGAGGAGGAAAGTCCGAAGTGATGCAGGTCTCAGACGTTGACTACGTCTAGGTCTACCCACCTACGGGTATGGTGCTGACAAACCGAGAAACATAATCGGAGTGAACCGGGATTCGAACACAATCATAGATTATTGGCATACCCAAGGGAAGCAACTCTGAACAGCGAATCGCGGCACCTCAGACGACTGGGCCACCCGCCACCCCTCGTTCATGCTAAAACATGTAACGTAACAACCCATGTCACTGGGATGGCACACAATAAGCCAAGTCACAGAGCCTACCAACCCGATCCTTTAGTCGCCTTAAGGACAAGCATACTCAGGTGTCTGTCTCTATCCCTGAATTCTCACGGGTGTTACATTCGTCGGGCCCATTCAACTTAAAGATTCATGTTTAAGTTGGAAGAATCGATAATATCTACTCAGATGCTACCTGCTTTCGGGGCGTATCCGGTAAATACAACGAGGTATTTTAGTTAAATTGATTAGTAAGGTTATTGTTACGCCTCAATTGATACAATATATGCCCCACAATGTTGGGACCAACGGTGGATGAAGATAATATCCATTGTCGGATTAACTGCCCTTGTATGGCTAAACCGTAAATATAGAGAGCACGTTCTTTTTTTATGTCTTCACTATGGAATACTGTGAGGGACATTCTCGCAATTCTGGCATGTTCAGCTCGTTTCCAAAGGTCAAGATCGCGAGAATGTCTCTTACAGTATTCCATACCCTGGCGTGGTAACCAAATGGTTAAAATGTTCGTTTACTATATATTCATTAGCTGTTGTGTGTAGGATGTGTGTGGGTGGTGTGTAGGTGGGGTTGGGTGAGTGGTATGTGTCTGTGTGTGAGCGTGTGTGTGAATCTGTGTTTGAGTGTGTGTGTGTGTGTGT